TCTAAACAGCACAAGTCACTGAAATCGATGACATCTTGTCATCGATTTCATCATGGTTCTTCAATGTTTGTCGTGTTCCCACTCTGGATCCAGCACTGTGCTACGTGCTATGGGCTCTTAAGGTTGACAGTTCGTACACTGAGGAGTTTCCAGTTCTTTTGAGGAACTGTTTATCGCTGTTTCTTCTCTATTTCACCATTTCATGCTCAGATTGCTGCAGCTGTCTCCCAGGTGGTCTTTTGCCTCCAATCTTAACCTCTCCAAGCTTGCAGCAGACTGCTGCTGGAGTTATGGCCCTACGGCAGCCTTTATACTAGGTCACTCCCTTGCTCAAAATCTGCAGTGGAACCCTATTATTCACAGCCTAACTTTCAAGATCCCTTGAAGTCTGGCCTCAATTTACTGCTTCGATTACTACAGGTAGTTCGTTCTTTTTGCTGCAGCTCAATGCAGGAAATTGCTCATATAGCAGTTTCCAACTTCCCACTAAATTATCAAGAGTAATGATGTCATAATGCTTTATATTTGAAGAGTGCTACCTACATGCTGTAATTACCTTTATGCATACTCATTTTCATATATTTATTCAAAGATTTGTCACCAAATAAGTCATATCTATTACCAATGACATATCTAAAAACTATTTTTATTTCCAAAGTAAAATGATGCTTCAATTCTACAAAATCAGAATAACTTTTATATGTATTGATTATGTAAGTGACGTGCTTTGTACTGAGTAATCCAAGAAGTGTATAAAGGTAAGGGCAATATTACATTACAATGTATTTATTTTTTGGAGAGGTTATTTACTTTTTCTGTTTTTAAAAAATTCAAACCGTACAGACTCAAAAAGTCCTTTTCTACATTTTCCCTTCCCTACTCTCTACCAGATATAACTACTATTAGCATTTCTTGAATGTCCTTCCAGATATCTTTCTTTCTTTTTTTTTTTTTTAATGCCTACAGCACCCGGTCTTCCTAGGTGGTCTCCCATTCAAATACTAACTAGGCCTGACCCTGCTTAGCTTCCGAGATCAGACAGGATCAGGCGTGTTCAGGGTGGCATGCCATAGACTAGATATTTCTATTTTCTATGTTTGATGCCTTTTCTCCCATTTTAATAAAGTTTCTTATAGCACAATAGCATTACAAATTATGTCATTGATTTTAGAGCTGTGGGCCCAATGGGGACTTCTTCCTGTATTGTTATGTCCTGACTACTACCCAAAAGTAGTTAAAGTAACTTAAATATAAAATACATATGTAAGGACTTAATGGAAAAAATTAACAAAATCTTTTGTCAGGAAAGACAAGCTACTAAAAGCATAGTCTAATGGTAGCTACTCTAGTTGGGGGCAACGTCAGGTTTACCCTTAAGTTTCTTGACAGCCAAGGAAAATGGGGAAAACACAGAGCTTCCATACCATTTTCACTGGTAGAAAAACGCAATCACACTAGTTCATGAGAAATCTTTTCCAGAATAGCCATAAATGCATCTAATTATTTGAAGGACTCTAAAATGGAGCAGCAGTTTAGAGAGCAATGTCTTAAATTAGGTCCTTTTGATTTTCTTTGTCTCAACAAGAAGGCATCAAAGGTATCCTTAAAGGGAGAAAAAACTGAAAATGAGAGACTGAGTCATCCAGAGTTCAGTCCTTGAACTTCTGTTTATCAGTACTCACCATCTGATCTAGTCTTCTGGCTTTAAATACCATCTATAAACTCCGACTTTATATAGCTTCAATATGTTCCCCCCCCAAAAAAGTCCTATATCCCACTGCCTACTCAATACCTTCATATGAAAGTCTAAGAGGGATGTCTCCTCTCTGCCAATTTGGTCCTCCTTTAGTCTTTGCTATCTTAGTTAATGGACATGTTAGCCTTCTCTTTGCCTTACAACTCACACCAGCAAATCAGCAAAACTTGCCATATCTACCTTCAAAATATATCCAGAATTTAACCTCGTTTTATCACCTCCATCCCTACCACCTGTCTAAATCAACACCATCTCTTATGTGGATTTTGCAATAATTGACAGGTCTCTGCTTCCTTTTTCTTTCTTTTTTTTTCTTTTTACGGAATATTACAAGCATGCACAAGAAGTGTTAATAATAAAATAAACCCCAATGTACCTACCTGAGGAATACACAGGCACTGTACATATATATGGTTCATTATTATAAGCTGGAATCCACATGTGCTTTCTTGTAATCTTTCTTTTTGTGTTATATAAGTTTAACTTATTCACTCAATCAGCATACATATCTTGATTGATTACTAAGCAAGCTCTATGCTTACACTTGAAAAGAATCCATCAATGCCTAAGGCAGGCCCTTTTCTTTAAGCATCTTGAGAGAAACATGTTTATATAAAGGAGCTGGGATGCTCTGATTGACAATACCTCAGGCTCACTTTGACATATCCAATTCATGAACACAGTGCCTGGCACTGGCTCCTTTCTTTTCCCTTTACAAAGGACTTTAATTTTTTATGTTATTTAATCCCCACCATTATCCTGGAAGATAGGTACGGTGGCTACTAACATTTAAAGATAAACTAATAGGCAACAGAGCCAGGATTTGAAGCCTGATCTTTCTTCAAAGGTAATTCACTTTCCCCCTACAGTTCACCTTCTGGCTGTCAGGATCACACAGTAGTTAAAACCACAGGCTCTAGAATCAGAACACAGGAATTTAAGACTCATCTTTACCAGTTATTATGTAACTGCAGCACAGAAATCATGTCGATCGTACTTTTAAAATTTGTAATTTCAATTACTCAAAGGTGTTACTTCTCCAGCTCAGGAATAGAAAGCTTTCTGCCTTTCTTACTGTCAAAGAAAAGGTTCTTCTTGATGGAATACTTCAATCCTCTTTGCATTCAAACCCTCAAGATATAACTTAACATTCAGAGAACTAGATATGGCTCATTTACTGAAAAAACCTCAAAACTATTCCATTCCCAACATTTATTTCAGGTATGTGCAAACATTTCCTGAAAGATGTATTATACATTTGGTTTTCTATATATAGAAATTGTTATAATTATCAGCCAAAGGCTTAGCAGTTCTCATATCCAGATTTAAATCTCCTATAATGCTTCACATTATAAATATAAAATGTAGCAATCATATTAACATGAAGTTAGATAATATCTTATGCAATGCCCTTAACTCTGGGCTTGGCTTGGTGATGTCCTTTAGCCAATGAAATGTGAGTGGAAGTGGCATGCCACTTGTGGACAGAAACTTTAAAAGCCACCACATGGGTCCACTGTTATTTTCCCTTTGTCCCAAGATTATCAATGTTCCAACGAAGAGGTCAGAGGCCAGTAAGAGGCCTGTACCTTCAGCTGGGATTCTGAAATTAGGAAGACACACAGAGCAGAGACACAGCTGACCAGAAGCTGAAAGGTCATGTAAGCATGAAATAATCCTTTATCACTGTAAGCCACTTAAATTTGTTTGCCAACCCAAATATAACCTAGCAAAAGTTAACTTACATGAGAAACAAGCCACTCTATTTAATATCTTCTTACTGGCCTCTGACCTAGTCCTAGGTTTATCTGATTAATCATTTTTCTACAAACAAGATATTCTGATGTCTTAATATCCTTGGTTTGCTTATTCCTCCTTACTACTTTTTGCTTACTCAGGTTAAAAAAAAAAAAATGCTGAGCAAAACAAAAATTAACAGAGGAGAAATGTTAGTGCATGTAATGCAACCTAGAAGCAGAGTATCTATGCTTTAAAAAGCTAAAGGACAGTGGTAGTTAGGAAAGAACACAACCCATTGATGGCCTAGAAAGCTCACAGGTAGGTAGGTCAGAGTCTAAAAAATGGTCGAAAATAGGCAAAAGTTCTGCAGTTTCACAAAGATTAACTTCTCCCCTAAACAAAACTAAATCTGTCTCTTTAGCCCAGTGTGATGTATGTTTTTCCATGATATAAACCTTCTGCCTTCTTGATCTTTCACCTGCGATTGCTGTAATACCATCTCTAGGGTCATGACACACTGTCTGTTTACCTTTTTCTTGCAACTCAAAAACTCCTACTATGAATTTAACAAAGTCAAAGGTAACTGATATAGAAAAACTGATCCCACAAACACACACTGTTATAAATTTTTTTTTATAAAACAAGTTTATAAACTAAGATTATCTTAGTCACATAAAAAAAAATAGAAATTTATTCAACCAATCTCAAAGACACACCAGGCCCTCTCCCCCCAAAAAAAAATCTATTAAAAAAAGAAGCAATGAAGTACCTTCTTTTCACAAAGCAATATTCTAGGTCCTTTAGAAGATACAAAAGATAAAACAAGGTCCTTACGCTTCTGGAATTCAGTGGAAAAGATGTATATTAGAAAAAAAAGTTATAAAGTAAGAATATTAAGAAGTAAATTGTAATATAAAAAAAGAAGAAAAGGAGTGGGGGGAAAGTAACAACATATGTCTTTAGGTCCTGACATGAAATATTCTTGGGAAAATCCAGCAGAGGACCGAAACTATACACCCGTTAGCCAAATACAACGTCAAAATTTGTCCTTGACACAAGAAGCAGATTGGCTTAACAGACAGTAGCTATGATCTTAACAAGAAACATTCAAAAGATAAGCTACACATCTATATTGAGGGAGAAGAGTATATTTAATGTCCTGCTTAGGTCTTCTTTGTTTAGAAAATCTGGTTGCTTGTATACTCATTTGTTATTGTGGTCCAACAATTTTATCCCAGGAAAGAAACTAATAAATATTAGGGCATAACATCCACTCTATCCACCTATCCTGCACTGACCGCTCATTCAGTCATTCTCCCCAAAGGCTTCGACAAATCTGATGTGCCCACCCCAATTGCCAAGTACATCAGACAAGTCCAAACCATTGAGATCACTAAAACTTCCCAGCTTTGAGATTCTTCAATATGTTACTTTTGAAAGTAAGTTATAAAGTCAGACTCAAAGGGGAAAAAAATTTTGCTCACAGAAGAAAAAATTAGTGATGAAATTTGACCTGGACAAATTACTTGATGTAAAGACCGAGGTGGCTGACTTTGAAGACTGTAGTACTTTAGCTATCAGTCACTGATTAAAAAGAAAAATATATTAACTTACCAACAACTGATGCACCTCTTTCTGCAAAAGCCAGAGAATAGGCTCGTCCCAGCCCTAACGAAAAACAAAATAGAAAGTTGAGCAAATGTTGGCATAATTTTTTTGGTACACTCAACTCAATCCCTATATTAAAGTAACTGGCGAATAATTACATTACAATGGTGAAGTCTTCATTGGTTCTCTCAACTTCTCCTTCACCTTCTGTTTGCAGAGGCTGGAAAAATCTTCAAGGCTCTTTAAAATATGAACCAGTTTGTGAACAGAAGGTGCTAAGTTCTGTCTAGTCACAATTTATTAATGCTTCACAAAATCAACTTAATGGGCTGCAATCTGCATTTATTTAATGAAACAGAACAGAATATCTCATAGAGTGCACTTCATTTACTATGTACCATGCCATGACTGTTTCAAATATAGTGTTTGTGTGTACTGAGTCCTAATGTAAAATATATTTCATATTGTGAATCACTGTCAAAAGAGGTTTGAAACACTGAGTACATCACTTCATTATTTTCATCAAAAGCAAAGTGCAAATAAAATGTTTTCCTAAAAACATGATCATTTTAGAATGAATATAGCTATGAGTTTAAAACACTCGGCCACTAATTAATACTAAAAGCATTTTCTTAAAGGTAGCATTAGAATCCATTTTATTGATGGAGATGTAAAAGTACATATGGATTAACTGAAAATTCCATTATCACTTTTAATATATAATTCAAATTAATCATGCATTAGGGTCATGCATGCATTTGATTTGATTGGGAAATCAAAGGCACATAAGGTCAAGAATCCTGCACTTGGACATTATAGAGGTCTCGTACTCATGAGAAATGGTGTAAAATCTCACTACAGAGAATTGGTGTGGCTATGAGTGGCTTGTTTTAATTTTTTTGCCCTTTAAAAATAACAAATCCTCATTTTGCTTCTCCTGAAATATAGGAAGATCTGCCCGCTTCAGAAATGTCTCTGCTTGCCAGTTCCTACTGTCCCCACCTCACTCCCATTTTTTTCCTCTATCATTTGCTTGACTCCTATAGGCATTTGAGTTTCCAACCAATGCCAAGACTCCAGTGGACTCCAGTAGAGTAGTTCTCCCCTTTATCCTCTGGGAAGATATTCTACGACCCCCAATGGATACCTGAAACCTCGGATAGCACCCATCCCTTTATATACTGTTTTTTTCCTATACATACCTACATATGATAAAGTTTAATTCATAAATTAGGCACAGAAAGATTAACAGTAACTAATAATAAAATAGAACAATTATAACAATATATTATAAGTTATGCAAATGTGGTATCTCAAGTAACTTAATGTCCTATTCTCACCCTTCTTGTGATGTGAGATGATACAATGCCTATATGATGAAATGAAATGAGGTGAATGATGTAGGCATTCTGAGGTAGAATTTAGGCTATGATAAGGGTTACTTGAACACAAGCACTGTGATACCACAATATTGACAGGCAGTATATGCTTTACAAAGGGATGACTCATGTCTGGAGTTGGACAGAGCAGGACTGCTCCAGATTTCGTCAAGCTACTCAGAACAGTGCGTAATTTAAAATTTATTATTTCTAGAATTTTCCATTTAATATCTTTGAACCAAAAGTAACTGAAACCATAGGTAAGGAGGGACTATTGTATAGTGCTTGGGTTGATAAGCATACAAACTCCAAGGAGATCTCTTAGATGCCCTCTTTAAAGAAGTGCCTCCCGAGAACTAAAAATCAGAGACCTTAAAATCGTCGGACAAAAGGAAAGAAACACTAAATAACTGACTTTTCAAAAGCAAGGAACTGACAGCTCTATCCCTCTGGGGGTGATTCCAGACCCTGGTCGGCTTTTCAGCAAACTTTAAAAGACTTGAGGGAAGCCTGAGTCTATAGGCAAGAAGAGTAGCATTTGGTGCGCAGACACAAGCCTCAGTAAGGACTTTTACCTAGCCCTGCAACAACCCACAGCGCAGCCGGGCCTTCCTCCTCACGCAAGACCTGGGCCTTTGAGAAGGTGGGAAAGGGGGCTGCACCTGACTGTGTGACTAGGTGTTTCTGGCTCCCCACTCACGGCTGGCCAGCCCAACCTCTCCCTCCACAATAGATCTGGTGCTCCAAGAACAGCCCGCCCCACCGAGATCCGTCACTCGCTCCACAAGCCGCTTCCCCTCCAACTCTCCACCGCTGCCGGCTGCTGCCCTGACGCTGGGACCGCAGCTGCGGCTGCGCACTTATCCCAGGCCCGAAAAATGGGGCTCCCGGCTTGAGGGGGGAGATGAGCGCCCGCCCTCCACACTCCGTGTACTCACCTCCACCTGCGCCGGTGACGACTACCACACGCCCGTCGAATCTCAGGAGCGAATCCATGCGTCCTGCCTGCAGCGACGCACACAAGCAGAACCGCTGGGGCTCAGATTGCGAGATGAGAGGGACAGTGGCAGAGGCCGGATAGAAGTGACCTGCTAATTTCGGGGAAGGACACGTACGCCGTTGTTTTCCAAGCGTGCCTGCGTGGGGATCCCTTGGAACTCTGGGTAGTGTAGTCCGCCTTGCTTCCAGCGGCGGCGAGCGCCTGCCCCAGACGCTTGACTTGACAGGCCATTTCTGCTTCAGAGAAGTAGTAATAGGTGTTGCTGGAACCAGTGTGGTAAAATGGCTGGTTTGGCACCTTGCGTTTATCCATTCACTTATCGTTTTGTCATTCTCTCAATAAGCGTTTGTTTGTTTGTTTGTTTGTTTTAGCCACTAGCCTAGAGAAATAGGACGCAGCCCATATCCTTATGTAGCTTTCTGAAATAGCCCCTAAGAAGGAATGGCATCCTTACCAATAGGTAAAGATTTCTCAGAGTGTAATCGCCAGACATCCTGCCCGAAAATCATCTGAGAACTGTCAAAATGTAGTCCTGGACCCAGACGCTGACCTCCTAAAATAGAAATAGAATATCAGAGGACAAAAAAAAAAATTTAACAAGTGCTCCTAAATGATTTTTATTTTTGTATGTTGAGATCAGTCATAGGGTGTAATTCTTTCAACATTTATTAAGCATCTATGGGCGGTAGGCACAAGTTTACAGATGAACAATAAGGTCCTCCAGAGGTCTTCAAAGCCAGATGATAAGCCTTTAATAACAGTGCAGCATGATGAGACTTGTAACAAATACATACACGTCAGCTAATGGTGCCAAAATAAATGGACCCTACCTCTGCTGGGGAGAAGAGAAAACTTATCAAAGGAGATGATGCCCAAAGTACCTTAGGAAATGAGCTCTGCAGATAAAGGAGGACATTACACATAACCGAACTACTGGCTAAATTGGTAGGGAGGGGGAGGGGGAGGGGGAAGGCAGCAGAAGTCTGATCGCATTTAGATGTTTTAATTTAGTGCTGAAAGTGGTTTTAAGCAGAATTACTCCAGGGAACACATTTACAACGTGGAAAGATCACTCTGCACCATTACTGAGGATTGATTGGAGATTGACAAGGAAAGCAGATGGAAACTTACTAAAAAAAATTTGGAGGTCAAGTAAATCAGAGAAAATGTTGAAGAAGGAAAATTCGAGGATACTTTTGGAAATAGAGTCAGATCTTTGTTATTAATTGGATGTGGATGTGAGGGAGGAACGACTGAAATAACCCCCATATTTCTTGCTTGAGAATCTAGGTTATGGTGGGCCATTCATCAGGATCAGGGGAGAAGAGCAGCTTTGGGAGGGAACATGACTGCAATTTGGAGCAAATCGCATTTGGGAAGCGAAGTGAAGCTATGGTTGGAGATGCTTAGCAGATAGCTGTGGTTCTTAGAACTCTGAGAGTTTGGTTTCAATGTTTAGGCAGAGAAAGAAAAGTCTCCCTGTAACTCAAAACTAAATCTCCAAAGAGCTGAAAAGCTTGTCCCTAAAGCAGCACTTTGCTCTCTTGAACATTTGTCCACATGTGCCTTACATTTGACCCTTGAACCGAAACCCAGGAAAGTTAGCCCGGAGGGAGCTGATCCTAAAGACAAGAAAGCACATGTGATAAAAAAAAAAAGGTCACTCTCAGAGCTTTGGACCAGGACGTCACCCCGCCCCGGTGCTGCCTTCCATCAGTGGGGGCCGGTTGCCTGGAGGTGGAACCCTCTACCCAGTCCCCAGGCTGGCGCTTGCTGCCACCGCACCAACTGCTCACTGCAAAGGCGAGTCTACGCCTGACGCTATCCTTAGTTCAGACCAGTGACCACCTTTTCTGCTTACTAGCCACCAAGAAGGCGTGGCGGCCCAGCTAGGCTTGAATCAAGATGTAAAAGAGATCCTTGGTCACGGCCGGCCATATAGGAATCCTAAGTTCAAGGGTAAGGCTATGTGGCAACTCAATAAACCTTTGTCTCCACACTCCTGCTTCTCGTAGAGAAAACTGATGCAGCTATGGCAACTGAGCGAAGCCAAATTTCCTCGAACTAGATCCCACGAGGAACCTAAATGAGCTGTGTGTAGGCCTTCTCCAAGCTTCACCCTGCGCGGGTACTCAGATATCTTTGTTAGGGGTATGTTTCGACCTTGTGTTCTAATGTTTTTTGTTTAACCCAACAACCCTGTTCTTCTATTAAAATAAAATAAAATAAACTTAAAATATAAAAAGGAAAAAAGGCTGTATGTATTATTCTTATTTTCAGAAATTTAAGTGTAGTATCAACCAGTTGTAGCCTACAGTGAGGTGTGTTCAGCCACAAGCCTGCAACAAGAATGAGAATTAAGGCTCTCTCAGCCATTGTGGGGGAGCCAACAAATACTCCACTTCCACTTCCCAGACTCATAACTGGGTGCTAGCGAGCCACCAACCGGAGCCAACAGGGATAGGTAAATGCAAGTACTAAGTACAGTAAGTTCTCAAATAAAGATATCTTGAATACAAATGAGAAGCAATACAGATTTAGGAATTACAGTCATGGAAGTAGAGTGAGGTGTGTAATTTAAAACACTGTGAAAAGTGTAGATTATTTTCTCTAATGGTCCCATCTGGCTCTCAAGTCCTCGTTCTTGTGAGAGAGGAGTCAGAAAAGGAGACTTAAACTTGCCAGTTAAAGATAAGTCGGTCTGTTTGGGGTGAATGCTATCTTTCAGGACTTCTCCCTCCTCTCTCTTCTAGCCTATATGTCATCTTAACATAGAGGAAAGGTTTGGCAAGCATAGGGGTGTGGTACTTATTGCCAAGCTGGCCTCTGCTGCTCCCCGCACCTATTGATAAAGTCTGCGACAGATAAAACTTGTGGTTTATTCTCTCACAAGTTTTAGGGTCTCATTGGTCCTCAACCTACCTGCATTTGGCCCCGACCCAAATATATCTAGCCTTAGGATCATTTTTACATCAGTGTGTGGGGCGAGGTTTTCCTAGACCCTGATGTGTATTATCTCTCATTCTCTGACTATTTTATAACTTCTACGTGAGTCTAAACATGTTTCAAATTTTAAAATTATTCAAATAAAATTTAAAAAACAAACAAAATACGTATCTTCCATGCCAGCCAGGAGCTAAGGGAGACAGGAGTAGGACCTTCAGCTTACTCATCACAAAGACCAACAACAAGGCTATTGCCATTCTGCTGCAGTCACCCTATAGTGATTCAAGATCACTCACATGGGAGTGTCTTCTCAGAGTCAAAATCTGTCTGGTTCTTCTATCCTCTTCATTGCCACATCTCGTCAGGTTCAGGCCAGGAAGGGGACAAGGGATGTTGGGTCCCTGAAGAACCCAGGCCAAACACACTCCTCATTAGCTATCTTCCTAATCTTTCTCCAATCCCTTCCCAGTAAGAATTCTACTTAATCTTTCTCATTGGTCAGAACTCTCAGTTTGTCCTCTGCTCTGACTTTATGGGTGTCTCTTTTCTAATGGGTCACTCTTTTAAGGGAGACACTATGGCTTTGTCTTAATGGTATATGGAGATCTGCAAGAGCATGAAGAGATATTACAGTGAAACAGTATCTCTTTTTTGTTGCTGTCTCTAAACCTGCTTCTTATTGTTGGAGGTTATAATACCTTTACCTATTTCCTACTTCAGAGGCTGAAAATACCAGATACTCTCCTTCCTAGCCTCCCTTGCAACCAGGCATAGCACATGACCTAAGTTCTGCTGATCAAATGCTTTGAATTGGGATGAAATGACAAACTGTGCAGAATTCATTCCGGTGGTAGGTGGTGGAAGCAACAATGGCATCAGTTCTCGTGGGAATGGGAAAGATTCAATAGCAGTGGTGTCAGAGGTGTGCATGGCAGCATCTAGTATGCAGCTACAAGGATAATGGTATCTTCATCAGCTCACCTGTGGCATGATTTGGGCATGGCTTCTGGCTGCAGAGTATCTGACCCTCACTGTGTCCTTCCTGCAGATTCTGTCAGCTGTCGCTGTGCTGCAGCTGATTTGAGATTGCACCTGTGCAGGCTGATTTAGCACTTGTAGACCCCAGTAGCTGAATTTAATAAAATAGATTCATTTGGGAATCAACGCAGGCTTTTCGGGAACTCATACAGCATAAGTCAGGATCAAGTCTTGGGTGGAGATAAAAATTTCTTTCCCAGGGTCACAAAAAGCCCTCCAGGGGACCCTATACTGCAAAGGCAGCTGTACTTTGTATGAACTTCAGATTCGCTGTTAACGCCAAGAATGAAGCACTTCAAACCTGGCTTTTTCTCAAGCTGAGCTTACTAGGTAGAAATCTAGTGAATTTTTTTACTAAATTTTTTCTCTTTTATCTTATTTCTTAGCCTTGGATAGATGACCCAGGTTGGACCTTATGTAGCAAGAAAATATTTGCAGGAAAAAAAAAAAAAGGTTTGTGCATCCTTTAGAGTAGGAAAGTTTCTGGCAGTGAGCCCTTACTGCGTCTCTGAAGCACTGTCTTGGTGGTAACAGTAGCTACAAAACAGCTGGAGAAAGCCTTGGGTGTCCTCAAGGTTTCTGGGAGTACACGGAAGCATGGCTAACCTCTTTACAAAAGATTTTTCCCAGTTGAGTTTAGATTCACAGACCATGGCCAACTGGAATAGTATGACTGATAATCTGACAAGCTCAAACAAGAAGTTTTTCTCTTTTCTCCATTCCCCAGATTATCCTAAATCAACTGGCTGGCAGCTGCATTATAGGTCTGGTTTGTGTTGGAATCTGGAAATGTCCTTTTTGCTTGTGATAACTGTTGCTAGTATCTTTCTAAATATCATGGGAGTGTGGCTGCTGCTACACTGACCTTATGTATGTATCCTGTGCTCTTTGGAAAAGTAAGATACATGAGAGAGTTGCAGTTGGGATCCTACTTTGGAGGTGTTAGAGGATTTGTAGCAGATCCTCGAATAACGTTGTTTTGTTCATCATTTTGTTATAAAGTTGAGATGCCATAAAAACTTAACTCATCTATATCAATGAGCCTAAGGTACAATTGGTTTCACTATACGTCAAAGAACCAATCGTTAAGTGAGGACGTACTGTACATCTATTCTAGTATCACAGTACAAGATATGATGATAG